CCTCAATATCAGGGTAATTGAAACAATTTAAAATACAAGGTAGCTCATTAAAATAATTGTAAAGAAATAGTTTATTTAAATATTAATAAATCATTAAGAAAAAAAATGGTTTTATGTTGTATTAAAATATCTACAGTATATTAAACAATATTTAATAATAATTCTCCTTTCCACCCAATTAGTCTATCGAATGCAAAAGATCTATAGTAAGCTTCTAATACATGAGCAAAGACGTGGAAAACAACTAGTGCCAAAACAGTCAATTAGTTTTGACAATACACAAACTATGAATCACAGGCAGCAAACATAATTAGTGTTAGGGAATTGTGCATGTCCAACTAACATATAATAATTAATAACTCGTAACGGACTGTGAAGGGAAATGATATTGAAAAATAAACGTGTCAGATAAAACTAGCATAGACATAACTATGATATTACGAATTAATATTCTTTTCATAATATATTTTTGTCTTCGGCCTATGGAGAAGATTTGAGCATTAATCATCACGCTTGCTCAAGACGAGTTGGTGGTTTCAAACTTATAATTGTGAAATTCTAAGTCCAGGTTTCCTCATAATGTTTTCCTTCATCGTCTGTCAGTGGTATCTAAATACTCTCAGAAAGTACATATGACTCGGAAAAATCACTTAACTACATGGCTACCATTCATATAATATACATATTATATAAATTAAAAATATTTCGTTATACGCAGAGAATCTCTTTCCTTGTTAAATTAAATCTAAATGTAGTTACAATAAACAATAACTACGAAGTGTTAGAAAAAAATGTTTATATATATTTGTTTTTAAAATAATTACTTAGATATACAATTTAATATATTTCATTTCTATCACATACAACTTATAAATATACATATTGAAAACATTGTAATTCATTTAAAAGCCATCCTTTGGTCATGAAGTGGTTAAAATAATAGTAAGAGCTCTTTCATTAAATAATTACGTAGTCGATAAAATTTACAAAACTAATTATTACGGTGTATGTTATTGTTTAATATAAGTTAAAAATTAATATTTCTCCTATTTGAATATCGCATTTATTTATTTATTTTAATAGAAAACTATTTTAAAAACCCCAAACGACTAAACCAATCCGGCTGCATCGTCAGAAATAACAAGAGTTAATCTCGTAAAACACTTGCACAAAGATTTAACCGAATAGTATATCTCAATCAGAACACACTCAATAGTTCGATCGTATTTTACTAGTGTTGTAACCCAGAAACAATTGCATATAGCAAGTGACCTATTTCTGGGATGACTCAGTGCAAGGGTTGCGAATAAATACGCTCCGAAATGCTTTTGGGAACGAAATACGTGGAAATTGATTTAGCTTACGTTTTACACAAAGTAATGCCTTCAATAGAAAACACGATTATGACTTCCAGTTGACGTCAAATTTATTCGAAATAAAGCGTTTCATAACTCATATACTTAATAAAAAATGCTACAGCACTCTTAAAAACATCATAAATGGGGAATAATATTTAATTATAACTTCGTGCTATGATTACTGAATAATAATGAAATTTTCAACTTATTCTTATTTTTTAAATCCCTACTAATCCCTACTAATATTATAAATGCGAAAGTAACTCTGTCTGTCTGTCTGTCTGTCTGTCTGCTACGCTTTCACGCCTAAACCACTGAACTGATTTTAATGAAATTCGGTACAGAGATAGAGTTGACCTTGAGAAAGAACATAGGATAGTTTTTATCCCAGACTTTTGAAAGGTTCTCTTGGAAACGCGATATAACCGAACTCCACGCGGCGAAGCTGCGGGCGGAAAGCTAGTCTTAATATAACGAACAGAATATATCTTTATACACAAACTAATATTATAAATGCGAAAGTAACTCTGTCTGTCTGTCTGTCTGTCTGTCTGCTACGCTTTCACGCCTAAACCACTGAACTGATTTTAATGAAATTCGGTACAGAGATAGAGTTGACCTTGAGAAAGAATATAGGATAGTTTTTATCCCAGACTTTTGAAAGGTTCTCTTGGAAACGCGATATAACCGAACTCCACGCGGCGAAGCTGCGGGCGGAAAGCTAGTCTTAATATAACGAACAGAATATATCTTTATACACAAATAACAAAAGTAACGTATCAGTTCCCGTGAGATACGAAAAGCCATATTACATTTAATGGGTAAAATATCGTTCAGTTATTACATATTAAAGGATGTCATTGTTGAAATTCGAAGTAGACAACGTCTAAGTTTGTGATACACAAAGCAAACTTGCCATCAACATCGATTGGTAGCTACGATAAGTGTCGATTCCTTTGTCCGATGGGAAGCGTACCACCTGACAAAGAGATTGCAGTACATACATGAAAAATATATAGGACTATATACGTGAATAGAAACTAGTGATTATTTTAATAGATATCGATGATTTCAGTTGCGTGACCAAATATGTAGGGTAATAATGGTAAAATTAGATTTCTTGACAATCGATATCGAAAACGGGACAATATAATGCGGTAGTATTGGTTTTGTATACTGTTTACTTTTCATAAACTTCGTATTTAACTATTCTTCTATAAATACACGTAGTAGACAGATAATTGTTTTATTGGACCCAACATAATTCATTTAAATAGAACAGGAAGAATATGCCCGAAATCCAATACACAATTTAATTAATTATAATAATCAAAATTCAGTTAAACGGAATTAAAAGAAGCGCATGATCACGTTACTTTAAGAATGTTGAGGAGCCATTAAATATATTAAATGTATAATATCAATAAAAATAAAATCCTATCATTTCTTGCTCATTTCATATAACACACAATTTTAAGTCGCGAAGAAATATCTGAATTATCTTAAGTGCAATTTTAATTTTATACTTAACAACTTCATGCGACACAGAAACATTCGAAAAATATTCAGATAATTGACCTTCGGTGTAATTATTGATAATGTCTTAAGCTTTTAACACTAATTGAAAGAGAAAGTGGAAACGAAAATAATCAAAATAACGAGATAATTTGAAGGTGACAATTACTAAGCGACTGCTACTGTATTAAACATGAGAACAAGATTTTTAAAGATGTGTGACAGATATAAGACTTGTCAACTTTCATATTTTTTGTATTGAACTGATAATATTACTTTTTGATGCATAGATGTATATCAGTTTCAGTAATATCAGTTGTGTAATTCTTAGGTTACAATCTACTGGGGGACAGACATACATACATCCAATGGTTGAGTTTTTTATGTGTATAAAACTTTGACATCTATATGTTAAGATAAAAGTTTTACATCCAATAGAATTATATGTATATAAACTAGTTAAAAACATTTTTTTTTTTTGGAATCAGAAATCTAAATACTACAATTAGAATGCAATTAACAACAATTTTTTTCTTTTACTGAATAAAGTTACTAAAATTATACTTCTGTAATATTTAGTAAAGAAAACTATATACTATGTACTTTCGGCTCCACAACTAATACAAATAATTTTCATAACAAAGACATCTAATACAAATAATTTATTCTTATATATTATTCAAAATCCGTAGTTCTAGTATAATTATAATGTTATTAGTCAGTCGCACTTACTACCTTTTAAGATTGTTTTGTATTGTGTTTATTTTTAAAGTTTATATATTACGTATAGAGCTTATTTTAAAGTGTGAAGGAAGTGTATGACTTTGTAATGCACTTGGAGATCTACTCTTTGGTATTACTGTATGTAATAAAGATTGTAAATAGACTAAAATATATATATATGTATGTAAAGACTAATATATATATATATATATATATATATATATATATATATATATATATATATATATATAACTTTCATATAAATCACCAGAATTGTGCTGAACTAAATCAACTATGTGTCAAATTTTTAACAGAGAAGTGTAAATAATAAATTGACTTTTTACATTTCATACATTTCCTACTTTTAATTATAAGTTTGTATAATTACATTAATATTTATATTACTGTATATAAATAAGAAGCAAAATGCATTTAAACGAAAAAATATAAATGTTTAAAGTAGTAAGAAAATTTATAACAATTTACAATGATTTTAATGAAGTCAGCATCAATAGTTTTGATGAAACGATCTTCATAAAAAATTCAAGGTTTATTTAACGACCGCCAGTTTGCCCTTAGCCTATTTAAAATCCCAACATCACAGGCTAACTCACCGTTTGCAAGAACAATAAATAAAATTCTCACACCTAACCATACCAATTAACATTTCTGAAATACAATTTAATAGCTATAAAACGTCAAAGAAGTTATTTGTCAAATTTATTATGTAGAAAGATCGAAAGAATCTCGTCGAGCGGTAAGTTCACTGTCGACAGTCTAATAATATACCCAATCACCCTTAAAATTTTAATGTTTTTGGAACAGCTGTTGCATGAATCATACGACATTGGCCTGAGAAATACTGGGGATCTCGAGTAATGTATTTGAACGTGGCCATGAATTTGATATCGGATTAAGACAAACGGTTACCGAAATTATTTACAATCATTTATAATCGTATAAAAATTTATTCAAACTACACATATCCGTATACTTTGGCAATACCACAAACTCTTCTGTAATGGTCTATTTTTTACTAACATAAACATCATAACGATATTCTTAATTCACATCTCGCAGATAATATGAAATGTGAAGGTGACTTTAAATTCCATCATTACATTTAGTTTCAAACGATTCGAATTTTTGAAATGTACGTACAAATTTCAATGATATAAGACTTCCGTCAGAACATTAACTGTGTAGATGTTCAAATTTAGTTGATCCGATTAATTTTTAACAGAAAAATTATAAAAGATGAAACATACTTAATTTAAATATATTTTACTAAAATTCCACTTGTATAGTTTTGAAGAACACTCCTATCAGTTTCTATTTACCAAATTATTGTTTTATAATTGTATAACGCTTATTAAAGTATAAAATAGTATCAAGGCTACTCACATTATGCTGGTGCAGAGTCAGTATCACGTTGTCGAAGGTGGATGAATTTGACAAAGCTTCTGAACTGCCTCGCAGTAATTCAGCCAGCAAATCAGTTCCGGGCTTAACTCCAGCTAATTTTGATGGGGAGGACGTAGCTCTAACGTGAGTCGGTCCTTTTGATCTAGAACCAGTGTTTGTGACAGCGCCAGCGCTTTTTTTTCTACAAGGTACAGTGGCATCTGAGAAACTTCTTCGTCCACTTTCTATCGAACGACTAGAGGGTGCTTCTAGATTTTTCCCAAATGGTCCCCTGGTAAAGTTTTGTCGTTTTGATTCCACATCGGATGTATCCGATGGACTAAATGGGGATGGTGAGGCTGTTCTGTCTCTTGAACAGGTGTCGCTCTCCGCCTCAGATGGCGAGTCCCCTCGTGACGTCACTCCAAATTTTCTTCTCACACGATAGCTCTCATCATCTCTTTCATCGGAGCTTTGTTGAGAGAATCTCGCTCGCCTGGCTCGAAGGTCATCCGATCTTATCCAATTTGGAGTTGGGGCTTCACTTGGACTAGAAGGTCCGTTTGCATTCGAATCGTCAGATTTTTCTCCCAGAATGGAAGAGGATCTCGCTTCGGCGGAAAGCCTCATGTCTGACAATGACACGTCACTACTTTCTCGCTGACAACCATTTAGAGAAGAAGAAGGAGGATCTTCATCACCTCCGTCATCACTTGCAGTTGTGATGTAAATGCCTTTTCTCCTTTTAGTCTTATCTAATGGTCGCCGTCTTTCTCTAGTACTGATAGGAACTGGTGTACAAGGATTCTGCACCGCGGCTAACAAATTCGCAACTTGTTCACTAGTAATAGTCTCATCTTCTTTATCTCGGTCTAAAGAACCATCAGACGCGGCATCCGAACGCTGTGCTTCTTCTACTGGTAGATCAGAAGACCACTGTTTCACTATACACTCGTAAACCGGCACTGGGATTGGCACAGAAGTGTCAAGTTCACTAGCGGAATTTTTTCGCGACGGAAAATTAATACACTCACAATCCACGTTTGCACATGCGTTCGTAGGTATGGCTGGAAGGGGAGGAAACGCGAAAGGCTGAGCAGGTTCAAGGGGAGAAGTTCCTTCACTATGCGCCTGCGCACTGTCAGCTTGTGAGCCGTCACTTTCTTCGCGTAATTCGTGGAGAACGCGCGGGGGCATTAAAACTGGTAAACTACCTCCGGCATCGGATTGACCTTCCTCCCGCACTGAAGGTACGCGACGCGGCAATGGATGTGTCAACGAACGCGCACCGAGCTGTTTGTGAACAGCATCTGGGGGATTAGAATGAGGCGCAGGTGATGCATGCACTATGAGCCCCTCGTCAGAACCAACGGCTGAGTCCACCGACGCAACGGATCCCCCCTCCGTCACATTTTCCTCTGTAAGACTCGATGTGTCATCGCGTGCAGATGCAGAATCAATTTCGTCTTTCCTTTTGACACGCTTTTCGAAATTAAATATGGAGGGCTGTTTACCACGATAATATTTGTCCTGTGCAAAATCACCTTGCGAGAAAGATGCACTGCGGTAAGGTATAGTCTTTTGCGCGTATGACCCTACAATGGAACGCGGTTCAACCCGGACGAGAGTTATTTTATCGGTGTCGAAATCGTCGTAACGATCGACGGATAGTCCGCGGGAAGGGCTGTGTCGATGGCGCGTCCGCGGCGGTGGGACCGGCGGCAGGACGGGCGCCGAGTGTGGCGGCGGAGGCGGCGGTGGCGGCGGCGGCGTGGCTGCTGTGTGTGCTCGAGGCAGCAGTCGCTCAGTGAGGTCCCGTAGGCGTTGGTGCCGCGAGGGCCGCTCGTCCCGCGAGCCCCGGCCCAGGCGGCGCTGGAAACGCTCCAGCGTGCGACGATCCGGCTTGGCGCGACCGAGGCACGCCGCCACCGCCTCCTCGGAGCAGCAGCGGCACGGGCAGGCGCGGGGAGGCGGCGCGCGGCGGACGGTGTAACGCACCGCGCCCAGCGTCACATACGGCGACCTGCGCAAACGTCGATATATTTAGCGTAACGTGTAACCCGCCGAGCGGTCGGGCGGCGAGTGCGACGGATTTAGAGTGGGCCAGCTTCCCCCGCAACTCGCCTCTGAATTCCGGGAGGATTCCCCACGACCCACTCCGACCGAGAGTTATATCTGAGTAGATGATTCGTATGTGAGTTACGAAGAGCCATCGTGGATGTTGGGCGAAACGATGTGTATATAAGCAAAAGCGATATATATTCTCAAGCTATCTGAAATAAAATACGGTCTTTAGGTGTCAAGCACAAAAATCTACAAAACAAATTGTGTGAGGACGGCAGGTGGGAGACAGACAGACGGAAGACGCACCGATTATAAATAAGCAGACGTTGGCAATTCGGCAATACACGACCTCGTAATAATGTTTACATCTCATATCTTGTTGCAAAGGACAAAGTTATGTGTTATTATACACATAAAGTTCTCTGAGAACAAGTACCTTTAAGAAAAATAATTGAGATTAATCAATAGGTTGATAATACTTAGTCCTCTGGGAGAAAAAGTAAATGATATAAATATAGAAGTTATTACTACAGTTTCCATCACATTATTATAGGACCATATTTCTCATTCAGAAAAACAAAACTTTAAGTCCATATACAGGCAAAACTTTTCCAACTTTCTGAAATTTTCCAGTTATGACTCTCAATAAAATAAACATTCTAACAGGACAGGCAACCCTTGTGAATCTGATATGATTATGAAGCATAGAATGAATATGAATGCCATAGATACATATGTATTGTATTTAAAAGAAAAATTATATAGAAACTCGGTAAATACAGGGGACCTGGTGAAGTCGCGTCGTCTTCGGACGCCATCTTGCGGGGATCGCGAACGCGCAGTCGCCATTGATCACGTGACACCTCGCATTATTTGCGCAAGCGCACCTACACACTCATCTGCAAAAGAAATAACACACGATAAAGAAAATAAAGCAATAAGGAATACGTAAAAAGCAGTTTATTTGTGATTTTCTTAGAAACAAATACCATAATTTACGGACAATTGAGAACGTAAATTTTAATTAGCTATTAAGACATCAAAAGAAATTTTCCAAAAATTACATTAATGAAAATTCGATAAAGAACAGATGTGAAAAAATATTTCCACATCCGTTAACAACCGACAACCGGAAATGATTATCCAGTAAAAGATTTTTTTTATGATATCTTTACAGAGCATCGTATTACAAAGCATGCAAAATCTTTCATGTCCACAACAGTGGTGGTTTACAGGGCATAAAAGGGTTATTAAACGATCCTTTCATATGTATAACTTGTTTACGATTGAGGTTTAAAGGCGTACATTCAAAATATATGTTAAATAAAAATCTTTTAATATATTTATAGTTAATGCATAAAACATCAACTATTATGTTGCACATAATAATAAGAATCTATCAAAATTTCACTGCAGATGTCCGGTTTATTTATAACGTGGCAATTTCTTCATTATTATTTTATTATTCTTTGCTTATATTGTTAACAAACTTCATCGATACATTTAAATTAAAATAAATTAAAACGAGAAATCATAAGTATTTCTTACATAGAAAAACCAAAACCTTTTTTTTTGTGTAACACCTTTTGAGACTAAAAAACAGACAACAACAAATATACATTTCTTTATATAACATAATTTATAGTTATACGACTAATATCATATTGAAAGAAAACTTGAAATTTTTAAAATAAGAAAACTATTGACGGATATATGAAAATTTTTCCACAAACTCGATGTTTTTCTATTAAACCAATCCCATATATACCTTTAGCATTTTTTATACTGACAATTTTATTGCATATAATTATTTAATCCAAACCAAACTAGGTCAGATTAGGTACAAATTGACAACTTTACATAATATTTAGCATAGATTTTTATCTTTTTTTTTATTCTAATAAAATTATATACAGCATAACTTGAAGCGTTCACCTGGAATTAAATCGTTCTTTCTAATAAGAATTATTTTTGATATGCCACAATCGCTTTTACAATTAATTCTTTTATATTGAAATATAATACTTCTTACTATTTACTTGCATATAACACAGAAGTGACATCTGCTGGCATTTCATTTAACGTTACAAAAAATTAGGAAAGCGTTTGGGCGGGCGGAGAATACTGTTGCTGTTTTCGAAACGACCAAAAGATGTCGCTTCTTGATGCAATTACTTATAATAGTAGGAATTTTAATTCGTATTACTTACTTTTTCCTAATATTTAACATTTTAAATAACTTAAGTTTTGTGATCTTTGTTCATAACTTTTGACGTTATCTTAAATGAAAGAGAGATTATTATATTAAACTTTATATACTAATACAATTTTTAACAATTTGTTTTATTAGTTGGATCAAGTAAGTAGGCAGAAGATACGGATATATTAAAACTTTTATTCGGAAAGAAGACAATGTAAGCGTTTAATACGCGTTAGATAAACGTATACCTGGGACACAAGTCCCAGGCACTGTTAAAGCTTCTTTCCCTGCGACGGGTTGGCCCCGGAAACTGCACGATGAATCCATGGAATGCTAAGATATTTATGTTTTTTTTTTTATGTTCATGGTATAATTAAATGCAAAAAACATTTATAAGAGATCGGCAAGATATAAAGGAATGAGCAAAATTGACATACATACTTTCATTAAGAAACACCGTACTCTACATTCATAAATACATAAGTAGTAAAGTTATAATCATCATCGTCATCAGCCTATCAGCGCCCACTGCTGAGCAAGGCCTCTTTCTCACATGGAGAAGGTTTGAGCATTAATCACCACGCTTGCTCAAAACGGGTTGGTGATTTCAAACTTATAATTGTGAAACTATAAGTCCAGGTTTCCTCACGATGTTTTTCTTCAGCGTATGTCAGTGGTGTCTAAATACTCTCAGAAAGTACATATGACTCCGAAAAGTCACATTGGTACTTGCCAGGCTTGAACCGGCGCCCTCGGCAACGAGAGGCGGACGTTTTAACCACTAGGCCACCACTGACTTATAATCAGATATGTATTTCTTTATTAATTTCGCTAACAATTAAACAAAACTAAAACTAAGGTGATTATCATACCAATTGTTTAAGTGATACCATTAATCCGAAGATATATCTTAAGATCAAAACTCATATCAGCGCTTCGGATTTTTGAGTAAAACTTAATACATTTCTTCTCGTTGAAGGTCTATATCATTATATGTTAAATATGTAAAATATTTCGATTTTATAACAACTTACAGATTGTTATCGGTCCACCTTGACTTAAGTTTTTATTATAAAAGGCCACTTTTTATGCGAATTTTTATTTTTATTCGATTAATTGTGCAGATAATTTGAAGGTGTTATGTATACCTATAAAATGAAGTAAGTAAAATTGTTTTTAAACATTCTATATTAAATTTAATATAACGAATTTGTTTAGATACCACAAACAAATAATTTTCTGGCAGCTACTTCATTTCTGAACTTAGTAATTGCTGAATTTAACAGTAGACTTACTAATGTTTAAATATAACATAGCAAAAAATAGCTTATTATTTTACTTCTTATCATCTTTATATAAACAATTTTGAATTCAAATGTTTTATAAAGATTTTCTATATAATTAAATATATACAATTCATATCGTTTTCATTATCACAGAAAAGGTATATTGCTGATGGCATAAAATAAATTGCATTTGTAATTTTCTGCCAAAACGATTTTTGTATATATGATATATTTTTTTTCAATTTCTATGTACCTATAAATCAAATATAATTTGGGAAACAATTTAGGACAGAAATAATATATTTTTATACCTAGTTCCACTCGCTTCTAAAGCTTTTTTGCCAAAGTTTAAAATATAACAAATAAATTAATAAATATAAGAATAAAATATAGCTATTGACAAAGAATTTCAACTTGTAATACCCATCAGGCCAATATCTCAATGCATTAAAGTCTCATTTTTTTAAATTAACACAGCCAAAAGCCTTACAAATAAGGATGCAAGGATATATGTAAATATATTTAATTTAACAAGAACTTCCTTACATTGATTCGTAAATGGCGTTGTTTGTCCTTTTTATTGCGGATGGCCCGTGACATTGAGATTTTGTAAAGGACTGCAACAACGGATTTGATGATCAGTGTTAAATAAATGAAAAAATGTATTTTAGCTTGCAACATCGTAAAGTATGTAAAGTAGCAGTAGTGTAAACAACAAAAATGATGGAAATGAGAATGACGTACATGTATTTTAACTAGACCTTACGTATTTAAAACATTACAAGGTTCTATTTGTAACTACGTCTGCGTCGAATTTAGAAATGGGTTCAGAGGGCATTTCCGTCAATATATGTTTGAGTTACGTCGCTCCATACAAAATACAACTATAAAATTTTGTTCCCTCTTGAAAACTTATATATTTTCAAGAGTTTTTTTGGAAAAAATATTTTGGAAAAAATATTTTCTTACATTATATGTGTTATTTTAATATCGAAGATATTACTCGACAGTTAATTCGGTTGAGAAGTTAGTAAATAATAACGAACATCATCAGAAACTAATGTTACTGTAATATTAATACAGTAAGATATATTATTCAGTCAGTAGTGGCCTAGTGGTTAAAAGGCCCGCCTCTAATTCATGAGGGCGCGGGTTCGATCCTGGCAAGTACCAATGTGATTTTTCCGAGTCATATGTACTTTCTAAGAGTATTTAGACATCACTGATTAACGCATTCCCAAAGAGGGTTGATGTCAGGCGGCGGCCGGTCGTATATACAATTTTCAAAACTATTCACAACATGTAAGGCAGACCCTGGCTAAAGCTGGGAAATTGCCAGGTATAAGAAGAAGATATATTATTAAGTATCTAGTGTTATATATTATAAGACAAAGTAAAATGGAAGTAATTTTTATAATTTTAAGGAATTGCATAATACATCAATACTATCATAAACAGTGGATATGATTATGAATTCAAATTAAATATCCACATGTCGCTTATATAGTGTTACTTGTGTAGGATTTTGTAACTTAATAATGGAAGATCATGTAAAGCGACCTTGCTGGAGGGATCCTGTTCCACACAGACCGCATGTTTTAACATCTAAACACATTTCACTGGTAATTCATAATCAATAATTCAACTTTGTCCTAATAATGTACAACTATTCACACCAATAGAAGCCCTTCTCTTCTTAACTTATAAAGGGAATATTTTTTTACGTAATTTAATTTACTTATTCAAAAAGTTTAGTTATGCGTTCAACTTTTTTACCAAGTTGTTTTTGTTATACATAAGTTTACAAATAGTTATCTGATGTCAATTAAAACATAATGAGATCTCATCTGCCCGTGATCACGGTTGCTGCATAGTAACCGAAACGTCGGAGTATGGAGTTAAAAATAGTTATAAATCCGTAGTAAATTCGAAAATTATTAGTTTTATTTCAAGAAATTAAAACAATTAGAGGGGTCAGTATTAAGGTAAATGTGACAACTTCCTTCCAAGAGTAAGGAAGTTTTCATAATGAGAGAATTCAAAATTAAAGTCAAATTGGTTTTTTTATATTCATATCATCTACATATAATTATTTGAAATTGTTTATCAAATACTCTCATGTTCTCATTGTTACAGAAAAAGCTTACATTTCTCATTTAAAACTGCAATTTGATAACCTTCATTATAAATTATTCTGATATACCTGATGTTTAGCAAAGGTGTTAAAAAGAACTTAAAACTTTTTTTTTAATATCAGCAAAATATATACAATTTAGATTACAAAGAAGCGATACACGAAAATAAAAAAACTCAAAAATAAACGGTACGTGGGTGAAAACATCTATCATCACTTAGCCCACGTA